ACCCCGAGTGTTTATGTATACGATCGAGAGGCGCCAGCCTCGGATAAAACACAAGGGGTAATGCCATTATCACCGAGGTTTGTATGCTATTTTATTCACAATCACATTATTTTTAGTCAAAAAATTCAATAAAATAAAATTCTAACAAAGTTTAAGTTCAAACGTGGTAGGCCATCTAAATTGCGTTTGGTTTTTGACATTTCAGAAATGTAAAAAAAACTGCTACAGAAGCAATTGAATACTAATTTAGCAGAATATTATGCGAAACTTGACAATTCGAAAGAAAAAATTCCCGGTATTTTTGTAATTTTAACGTTAGCTCTCCTGCATAGGTATTACCGCCCAACAGAAGTAATATTATTACTCTTCATGAGATTATGATAACGTTTTTCCTAACCTTTAAAATGTTAGTAATCGGCATATTACATTGGTGATTGTGAATAAAATTATTCAAATAGAAATTACAATTTGGAGAAAAAAACAAATTATTATAATTTTGAAATCAAATCGCCTGTTAGTAAGATTTTTTTAAGTTTTAAGAAATTTGCCAATTCGTATGTGTTGTAAAAAACAATTTTAAAACCTTGTAGAAAATCTGGTCGTCTTTTTTTAATTAACTTAATTAATTTGACTAATAACTGTGACAAAATACCCATTTTGTTATTTTAAGTTTACTCATTCTCCGCCCACACAAATTGGGTTAATTTGGCGCCGTCGTTCGACTGTCACAGCAAAAACTTCCGATTAATTAATGAGCCCGAAATTTAGATAATCTCGAAATAACATGTTTTTTAGATTGGTATGGTCAGTGAAAAGCCCCGAGACACACATGTTGAGAATGCAGGTGTAGGTATAGTACGGCGCATAATTTTACAAACCAGTTTCGATTTCCTAATTTAATTAAACTTAAGAAAAAAAACGCTACAATGGCTCCGAATGAAAAAAATTAATTTCAAGTCCACTGAAACTTATTGGGCAAAAAATCGTGTAATTGAACTTCCCATGTTCAAACAATCTCAATGGTTGAATGCGTCAAGAAATTTTATTCGGTTCACAGTTTATAAATATCCAGAAAAAAAATTTAGAACAAAGTGTGCTACGAGCGTCTAGCAAAAAGCGGTGTAAATAATTAGGAAATTTAACATAATTGACGTAGTCATTCTTAAATTTACATATGTACATTAGTTACAGTCGGTCAATTTGTTGTTGGTTGTCGACCCGACGCTCCGGTTGTTCATTTCAGGATGGACAACTGTAAAAAATGAGAAATGGGTGGGGCTTAAACGTTCGTACAATGATTGTCGTAGCAGCCAATCACGAAGGAAAGGTAATGCCAGGTTACAATGCATAATGTGCATATAATGTTTGCCTTATCAGATCTGAGTCGCGGACTATTCCTTTCTCGCTTTAGTTATTATTCTCAAGATGGAAGGCTGTCGATATGTGATCAATACGTTTGTGGACTTGAGCGGGTTAGGGCTGCGCTACATCGTGCCGGTGTTTGTTGTGATTTCACCTTTTTCATGCAATACGAACACCACTCATCAAAGACTTCATTGTTATTACCACAATATTACACGAATTGATGGCATCTACGTGTCTAATCTCCGACTCGCGCTATTAATCAATACAAAATAAATTTATGCTTCCACTGCCGAGTCAAGGGACTTTGTAAATAATATGCACCTGCTATGGACGATGATGGAACAATTAAAGAGCGACTTAGCATGTGTCGTCTTCTTAACGACTCGCAACAATTAGATACAAACAAAAAAATCCAAAATTAAAAAAGAAACCACTTTTATTTCACTATGATATTAATTAACTTGATTTGTGAGACAGTCTTGCTAGCTATTTTAGTAACTAAGCTGTACCTGAAATTTAAGTTGATGAAGCTTATACTTAGCTCATCATTTTCAGACGCTAGAAGCTTCTTTTTTTAATTGGAGCTTCCACGGAAATATTTAAGATCAATTTGAGTTACAATTAGGAGAGAGTGGGTGAATTGTCTACACTAAAGAAATTGTGCTGTACTTAACTCTAAAAATTTAAAATCGTTTTCTTTGTGTCTTTGACTGTCGATAGTTTCATATGTTAGCTACAAACTTGACTTAATGAGAAAATTATGTGCATTATCTATTTTGAGAGATAAATAATTTAAACTAAGTGCATTGGTTAATAATGCGCACCCTATGACGAAAAATGCTGTACTTATAGTGTAAAAAGCATTTTTAAACATTCTTTTTTTAATTTTAGAAGTCCAATAATAATAATAAAATAATTATTAAATTAACAATAATAAATTTTTTGATTTACAACATATTTCAAAAATAAAAAAATAAAAATAACTTCTTTATAAAAAAATCCCTACAAAAAATACTTTGGAGTAAATTTACGCACTTGCGTCCAATTACCGGACTACGCAGTAAATTCTATAAAAAAATATCAAAAGTTAAAAATCTATCCAGCAAATACATAATGGAAGCTGGAACAAATAGAATAAAGAACAAAATTTAGAGACATAGTTATGATTCAATGATGTAATTTACCTTTTGTACATATTACCGCCTTTTTTCTACGATGTGAAAATCACAACGTAAGAGCCGTAAAATGTTTTTTAATAACCCTGCTAGGAAACACTGGTACATCAATATCAGTATACATACTCGTAATTAATATCCTAATTATCATTCAAATTTTACTCCTAACACTAGAATCAGCCTTTAGACTGCCAGTTTTTTATTATGTCATTTTCTCACTTATTTTTATTTTCGCACTTATCTCACTTATTTTTTTTTAGTTACTCACATTTTTTAAGTCTCTGCGTCAACATGTTGTCTATAAAGCTTTTGTACAACATTAACTCAATAGATATCAATTTGATTGTATTTTTTTTAATTTAAATTAAAATAACTTAACATAGTTCTTTTTTTTATATAAGTACAAGAATACTTCGAAATTTAAATTGCAGTAAAGTAAAAAAGTTTCTATGATATAGCCCCTCTGAATAAGTTTTCTATTGTCTAAATTTTTACAACTTTGTAAATTCATATTCGTCAGCAAAAAATAGTAGTAGCTTGCTGAGTTATAATATGAGTAATAGATAAATCTAGAAAAAATATACAAAGTTATAACTTATGATGACCAAGAGTCACATGACCAGAATAGTAATTGAAATATGTAGAAAAAAAACTTAAAAACTATTAAAAAAAATGTATGATTTATTTGCAAAAAAGTCACTTTAGTTATATCGCTTAATAATGAGCTAAATAATAAATGTAGGAATAAATTTGTAAAGAAACACATCATCAGAATAACTAATTGTGTTTTATTTAATTATAAATATGTTACTGTTTGCAAATTAGCAAAATGCTTTAAATGCAACTTTGCCTATATGCCTGTGATATAAAGACATTCTGAAATGTTGTCTCTAAAATATTTGTTATGTTTTATATTCCAACAATGATATTTTTTATTAAAAATTAAGTCAAACAATTTCTCTTAAATATTAGTAGTATTTTTTTACATTTTATGTCACGATATTTTTGCATTTACTGCACTCAAATCCGGTTGTGTGTTTTTATTAATTCACTATAATTTGATACAAAATTTCTAGTTGTGTACCCAAATATAACATAATTTCTAACACGCGATTTTATTAGTAATACTCAAAATTGCTCACGATACAATAATTGATTGATTTTACCATAATAGAGCCCACAAAAAATAAAAGTAGAAACACATTACTTGAGTTAATAAAACTGTTCAATTTTCTTGCTACGGTCAACAACATAGAGAAATTATTAAACTATACTCCCGTCACAAAACATTACCTTTGAAATCAAGATTATTACCGTAAGATGTCTTTAAATCATCAATCATAAATATCAATAAATTCATTGGATAATGTATATCGACATATTGATAGTTTAAACCGATCTAAAGACTTTTATAGACCTGTTAGATAATCAATTTTGCCGAATTTTTCTGTTTCTTGCGATATATAAATCATCATTCAGAAGAGTCCATATCACTGTCAATATTATTAACGATACAGCTACACCTGAGCTAACCACAAAAATAAATTTAAAGTTTTCTTGCTTTTGAGTAATCATTTCATAACTTTATTAATTAAAATAACGATCAATAATACACCGAATGTTTAATTTTTAATGCGTGCCTTGTTGTTTTATGAAATAATCGATAATTTAATTATTTTTTATGGCTAAAACTCATGTAAAATATTAGTTGATCATGCATTTTTTTTTAAATAGTAATACAAGTAAATCTTGAGAAATAATGATCTAACATTGGTTAATTGAGCCACCATCTTGTTTAAAGTGTGCTAAATTTCCATTACTACCATAAAAGTAAAATAGTTTGCGTTTTAAAAAAATATATTTTATGCAGACAATAAAACGGTGTTTACTTAACAAAACTTTATGAAGATTTATTTTCTAAGGACACACATAATATATTTGGAGAAAAATATGTTCTCATTGTTCATTGGTTAAGTTTCGGTAAATTTTCACTGTTGTTTGAGATGTTCCAACCAATGGAAAAACGCCAAATAATCCAAGTTGCGTGACTTAATTTACAACATTTCTTTTGTAAAGTCATTAATCGAGTGCGTTCCAAGTTAGAAGTAAGAAATCTAACGATAATTACGAACGAAAGTGATGGAGTATCTCTAGGCTGTATTAATAATGTCTGTTGACAAGATCATGTAAGGATCTCACACACGTCCTTTGGAAGTTATCTCGGTATCTCGAGGCGTCCATCAGAACAATACAGGCCCAATGGCTATGATTGCTATTGAACATTGATTAATAAACTTCGGTAATGAGTGTTATAATTAGTTGCAGCAAATAGAGCCGAGGGCAGGGTCGTGCACTCCTGGGGAGAACCCCGACTCGACGGGAAGCCCGACTACAGATTGAAATTCATTATTAGCTCGCAAACTGATGCATCACAATTAACAAAAATCTTCTCGTTTTCAGCATTGGTACAGAAACGTCTCCGGAGGGAGCGTCGCGCCCGGCGACGACTCCAAGATCAACTGGAAGCCGAAGTCAAAAGACGCACCCTGATGGAAGAGGCCCTTAAGGCGGCGGGGGCCGGAGAACAGCTCAGGATAATTAATGGTAAGTTACAGAACGTGCTTTGCCGTGATTGATTGGTAAATTACGTTGATTTTTCGCATTTGCAATCCGGGCCGAGACGTGTAAATGTCTGCAAATTGTGTTCCTCAAACCGGAGTCTGTCAATCACAATGGGGTTGAACGGGCGGGGGCATGTTCTCTGCTACTGATGCCCTGCAGGGATCCAACTTTGAGATCGGTCCCTAATAGATTACAAGATATTTGCCTTATGCTCAGCCGCTGATTAAGACGAAATCAGCAATTTCGTTTTTGAAATCAATAGAATTTCCAGTGTGAATTTGTTGCAGAAAAACTGGCGCAGACGGAGCAGAAGGTCAGCAACCAGAAGGTAACCACAAGCTCAACCCCAAACCAGAGCATCTCCTCAGAGCGTGAGAGAGTATCGGAACGTGTCGAAAGGATGGAAAGAGAACGTGTGGAAAGTCCACCGCCGGCATATGGGCAGCAAACTGTCCGAGAACCGCCGCCACCTCCGCCCGAAAATAAGCCCTGGGGCTATTCCGGAATCGACCTCATGAATACCGGAGCCGCCTTCTGGCAGAATTACTCCGGTGAGTTGCACTTTTAATAATAAAGTCGCCGTGCTATTAACATTTACCGCGCAAATAAAAATTTTTCGCCGCTTTGTGTCCAAGTACCGTTTCGTGACGAAGAATCTGTTGATTTTTTGTAGTGGCGGGTCGTTTATAATTAAATTATTAAAACGTGGGATTAACGAAATGAGTTTGGAGCCCATATGTTGTAGCGTGAAAACGAATCATTTGTGATTTTTAATAGAAGTCGGTACAAAAGCAAACAATGAACTAGTAGTACCGCTTTTAAGAAACGGGGGCACAATCGAAGTACCGATTCATTCTTACATATAATTTCGAAATTAAACGCCTGTTACGCACAATGCCAGGTAATATTCAGTAGCTGAGATGGAATTAAAGACGAAATAAACATTAAATAGTTGAAAGGATTCAATTTACAACTTGCTCTCCGACAATCAGGATAACTTCCCAGAAAATGAGCCTTGCGATTTGATACGCTTTGAATGGCATGCCGAATGTTGTGTGCATGGATGAGACGTTCACTTTACCGGTAACGTCGCCGGAAACCACCGAACAGCTGTTTAACGATACACTTGAGGCTGTTCTCACCTGTTATAACACTTTTTCATATTGATTTTTACCAAAATAAAAGCGCACATAAAATCCATGCAGGAAACGTAATCACCGCAACCATTTGAACACCCATTTTTGCTTTCTTCTCAAGGAAAAAGCAAAATAAAATTTTCAGAAAATTATTGTTTACCTATAAACTTTTCAATACATGTAATATTTAGAAACAATATAATAAAAAAAAATAAAAATAAATAAAAAATAAACAGTTTTAAAGTATTAGTTTTATTTTTAGAATGAACTTACTGATGTATAGTTTTTGAATACAACAAAATTATTAAGAAAAAAATTATAGGTAAAGAAAAAATGTCGATGCCTACAAATCTATAGTCCATTATTTTGTTACATGCGTGTGGATCAAATAATAATTCGAAAGACGTACTTATGGCTATCTCTTTTCAACATTTGTAAACAGCCTCATTGCTCTGTCCCTACGTATTTGTGTAAGGTCGGTCACTTTAACAAATGCGACTGAAGTAACGCAAGGCTAGACGTACTTAGGTCAAAAGTGTATCATGCCGTCATGTTGGTCATTTGTAATTTCATTTTTGATTATAAAAACTGTTTTGACGCTAATATACCCTCTATATGTAATTCATGCCCTGTAAAAACCTAATCTCAGAGAGAAACTTTAATATTTGACTTTAGTACATACCAAAATATCAGAAGCGGTCAAATGTCAAAAACAGGCGGAGATTCATGGCGTGTTCTTGATACACACTTCCCCCACCAGCAAATAATAAAAAATGGACATTACATATGTAAATAATAATAATTATTACCTATACTCGGACTATAAATATTTTTTTCTAGCATAGCTCAGTCCTCAACAAGCAAAAAATTTGTTTATGCATTATTTTTTTCATTATCGTTCACCATCAAACATTTCGTTGTTTTTTAAATAAATTTATATTTTTTAACATTGACAAACGTGCTTGGCGCCTTTACAAAAATCACAACCGTTAATTTAATTCTGCATTTACGTTTATAAAAGTCGCAGTTCGATGTCATTATGCAAATACTGGTAATCATAGGTATGTACAGCTGTATTAAAATTCATACATAGGTAAAAAGCACCCTTGACGTGCTTTCCGACAATGTATTTCTTCACATGAGCATATTTTTACCGCTTATCTGGGCAATTTGTTTTAATTTTCTTTTTATTACGATAAAGGTTTGCCTCAGTTTAGAATAATTGTTTAAAATATGAGCGTTTTTTAATAATAATATCGTCAAAATTCTGCGTGGTCAGGTAATAAATGTGAAGTTGAGTAGAAACAAAGTTCTGGAGCAGAGTTTCCCAAGTTGGGTGTACGGTCGTTACGATTTCATATATAATTATTGCAGTTTGTAGTATAGCGCGGTTAAGCAAGCACATCTTGGCATGGCATCAATTGTTTAAAGTGTACCTGAACATATTTGAGAAGCTCAAATTTCAATATCGTCGTAGCGCAAGCGCTCGTATTAACATCCATCCGTCCACTAGCGAATAAACAAGAGCGATACCATAAACATATTATGTAAACAAGGAAACTCCGGGGAAATTATACTGCAACGTAGTAAGTTAGCAGGAGCGATATCTCAAGAGTGTCGCAGGAACATTTCTCAGCAGGATCAAGTCGGTACACAGATTCCGAGGCATGCTTAGAATTCATGGACTGCAGTAGGCGTTTGCAATATTAAGGTCGCAGATAACTGACTTGAATAAGGTAATGGCTACAGAATTTGCCACCAGAACAAACCATTTACACCCAACACCCACAAAATCACCCGTAAACACTTTCATTTATTAAAAAACACTCAAAAGTAGAAACAATAAACTTTTTCATCTACAGTTTGGTTGAACTGAAATACTGAAAATATTTAGACACTAATCTACAACCCAATTTTTTTTCTTTTTCCAAAAGTTGGAACAGTAAAAAATACATAGCAGTCAAAAGACAAAACAAAGCAATATATGAGTTTTTATTAAGTTTTTCAAATTTCAATAGAAATTCCTTTGTCGGTTTCTTATCTGTAATTATTTCGATTTTAATAATTGTAAGATTAAAAAATCAATATTGCAACTTGAAAACATGTAGGCATGCAAAACATAACTCTACTAGAAGAATAAGCAAAAAAGTAGAGCTTTGCTTCACTTTTGAAGAGATTGTTTTGGGGTTTGTGTAGTGTCGATATTGATGCTTTCACGAAGGGGTGCCAAGTTCGCGTCTGATAGTTCCATAATGCGTAGATTTATAATCCTTAATAATCCCGAGTGATTAGAGTTAATTCAATAGGAATCCTTTCCTTGACGAACAATAGTTAGTCGACGGAGGAACGTGGGGTTCCGGTAATGGGTCCCAAGACGGCGATGCGAGACTTGTCCGGACTTGCGGTCGGACTTGGCCGGAGTCCGGTCCCCGGGCGCGTGGACAAGAGGAAGCCGGCACAATATTAACTAATTACCTATTCATTACGGCTTAAAGTGGCAAGTTGGTCCTGAATTATTCCCAGCTCCGGAGGCCAAGTTCCGGAAGTGAGGTAAGACGCAGAAGCTCGCCGGAAGCCTCTCTAATGGATGCCCAACTTACTACACCAACTTCTATGCTTTATTAGGATTGATTGGCTGCTGATATCATCGTTCTTGCCAAAACTTGGCAAGGATAAAGAATTGCATTTAACTCAAAAAACCATTAACAGATGTTTTACTCCAAGTCGAACAAATTTCCTAAAAAAAGGTGTCTGTTTGTGCATGCACAAAATTTGTCACAAGATAATTCCATTGGTGCGACCCTTGTTGGGGTCGGAGTTGGAGAGCCGGCGGCAAAACGATTTAAATTCAGATATTATTGTCGCTGTGTGAAATCAGAGATGAATTCTATAACTACAAAGTGAAGTCATTTTACTGTAACTAAATAAATGGAAATTTGTTAGGTGTCTCACCCTCCCGTGTTAGACTCTAATCTTATCCACGCTTAGCACACAGATTTAATAAAAGAAGAACTTTATTTAACAGACAAAAAAGACAATACAAGTGTATCAAAATCATTGAAAAATGTCTAATAAATCGATCTGTCGATCGGATTCAAGGTTAGCACTTTTTGTGGAATATACCACACAAGTCGCCGAGGCAAATAATACCATCAGGTGTTTCTTTGACGCAGATCAATTTTTTGGTCGTTTTTGCTTTTTAAAAGCCGCATGACTGTGTTAACCACTTTTGAGATATTTCACATTCTTGCGTGTTTCATACTCTTCGTGATTCCGTGAAGTGTCAACAATGCTCGAGCAAGGCTATGATAATGCACAATTATTAGCCGTTTAAAAGCGCACCAATGAAACCTGAATAATAATAAGTTGTAATAATAATAGTTAGCGCGTGTCTAATTACATCATTAATACATATATGCATCTTGAGCCTTAATTAGTTACGTGATTCGATGCGACCGGAATGGAACTTATTATCGGATATCGCCATGTCATAGCCGGCCTATTACCGGACCGCTCACTTCAAATGCGGCATTCAATTAAAATTTCTCAAATATCAATTATTACATCTTTGCCTCTATTCCAACACTGTTTTCGATTGCCAAAAACTGCTATCCAAAATAATCAACACTGCCTCAAAACAATCCTAATTTATCTAGCTTTTAAGAATAGGTATCATCAAAATAAGAAACTTTTGCAAAAATAGGTTGTAACTTTTAGAGAATTAAAATATGAGTTTGATCATTATCAAATTTAAGAGATCCAAATCTTGATTTAACACTGACCACGGCATATAACATGATTTAAAACTTAATTATCAAAAGATGCTTTCTCACCAGAGAGAATCACAAAAAAACCCTGACATACTGTGCTACAGGTGACTCTAATAACCCCGATTGTAAATATTCGTAGTAGAGGTTGAAATTTAAAATTTTACCTTCAGCAAATGAAATATAAATATTTTTTAATTAAGGCAAATTTTTTCTTGATTTTAATTTTAAACAAATTTCTGGAAACATTAGTTATTTATTATACGTTCATTTTAACATGAAGAAAAGAGTAGATAAAATTCAATTTTATTCAATAGAGGATTGAATAAAATAATTTTATACCCAGTATGTCTTAAAAAGGATCAACAAATGGAAAAGACTAATTGAGTTAATTTTACTTCAACTATTTTGTTTTAAAATATTAACTATTAAAGTCCCTTGTATATAACAAAATCAGAAATTAGTGTACTCACTTTTTGAAAGCTTGTGAAAACCTTAGATACAGTATAATTCATCTTTAGTTCGTTTAAATTATTTTTTTAAAGAAAAATGTGCGTTTAAGGGCATAAATCAAAGTCAGAATCTGTCTACAATAAATCCTTTTACGATTGACTTTCTGCTAAGCTCTCGAAAAGTCAATCCACTCATAAATGCCTGTTTTTACTGCATGTACTTTTTAACGATTTGCCTAGTTTTTTATAACAATTTTAGTTGTGATTTGACTATTGTGGTCTAAACTAGTATAGCATTACTTTCGTTGCTTTGAAAGTTTTGTACAAACTCGTATCGATTATCCTGAGTAAGAAAGTAGGATGAGGAATGGAAAGCCCATGAAAGTTCAAGTTTGGAAGCATAATTTTGTGTTTATTTGATAAACTAAAAAGTTTTTCCTTTGGTTATAGTGCTTTTTAAACACGTTACGTAAGTAAGAAGTTGTTTTCGGTGTCATTTTTAAGTTTATGCTTCTTTTTCAATGTTGATAAAAGTGGTTTTTAAATTAATTTGATTAATCTCACTACTGATTATTACCGTATAATTTTTGTTGCAATATTTGTAAATAGTCAACGGCTGTTGGTCCCAAATCCTTCATAATATTTGCATATCTGGCGGTTTGCATTAACCCCCGAATTCGTGTTGAATATTTATCACGAAAACTGACTGTTGAAATTTCTCGACTGTTGGTACCTAAAGGCCCCAACCCGTAGCAACAATCAAAGATTAATCATCCCCAAAATAAACAGGACAAACTCGGTGCCGACTTATAAAACTTCTTAATTAAAACCGGAGCCGTGTATCCAAAGGATTAAGGAGGGCACTTGCCGACTCAACCGTCGTTCTTCACCGATTCAAACGGCAAGTGACAACGGCACAACGAGCCGAGAAATTGCAACAGTAAAGATAACATCGTGCTAAATAGCCGCGGGATAGAATCCCTGGCCGGGATAATGGCATTGCAGCCTAGCTAAATTAACTCCCTTCGACTGTGCTAAGCGGTTTGTCCGTCTGTCCGACTCGGCCTCCTCCTATGATTCCATTTGAATAAAACACATTACTGACACAAGGATTAAACCCAACTATCAAAATCCAAACCCCTGTACTATTTTGCACAAAATTAGAAGGGTTGACCTATGATTTTTTATTATTTTTTTCAGAATCCTTAGCGCAAGAACTAGAATTGGAGAGAAAATCCCGCCAGCAACAAGTTGAGAGAGACGTGAAGTCACCGCTTCAAGATCGTTCCGGGTATTACAAAAATTCCATGCTGTTCACAAGCACGGCTACATAAACATAACGTACGAGTTTCGCTTAGATAACAGTATAAAGTAGGTTTTAGATCAGAGCGTACAGTGCTTAGCAATGTTTCGATTGGTATTATACATTTTTCGAGTCGTTTTAAACGAACACGCTGTAGATATTGATTAAGTTTTTTCTTTTGTATGTCTGTATACTAAAATACGTCCATTGTCGTGGAGCATATCAGTTTACTTTGATTTTTTAAGACTGATTTTGGGCATGGAGAGGAAAGACAGCAATTTCCGTACATAACTTTTTTTATTGCTCAGAATTCACTTAGTGTAAATAAAAGCACAACCTGTATATAATTTCTATTTTGTAATCCAATTCAATTCATTACTTTAAAATGTGACTGTTTAAAATTATTCTAATTAAATATTTCTGCTTTACATGTACATAAATGAGCGTCAAGATATAAACCTGTAGAGAAGTCATTTTTCATGTAACAACGCAGAATAGAAAATTGTATATTAAATTTTTTATAAAGTCTAAAGTTTTGCATATCCATGTAAACTTACATTTAATGATAAAAATAATAAAACGTTGGTATTTAACCGACAAAGTTCGTTTGTACATTATTTCGTAATCTAAAATATTTTACACAATGTAGTATTTTCTGACGAAAAAGTATACGCCATTTTGACAATCATTGTCAGAAATTTTTAAAAATATCAATAAGTATTGTTGTTTGTTTAAACTCAGTATTATCTCAGATTAGGTGCAATACTGAAACCACAAATTATACGAACGATAGTGTTCTTAATATAGCACAGTTTTTTTCTTACTTACTTATATCATAAGTAGGATAATTTATAAACTGTTCGTGTTAGACTATGTAAGAGGCAGTGTGTATGTATTTATTGTAAATAGATGTATGTGTGTGCCTTGTAGAAAATAAAACATAAAAATTTCGAAACTATTTTCTTCACATCTCTATCAACCCAAACCTTTTTAGCACTCTAATTTATAAAAAAATATATACCTAACTTCAAAAATCATAAATTTATTATTCAAAAAAAATCACTTTATGATTGACTTTATCATACATAGCAATTTAAAACAAACTATAGCTATTAATACAACAAGAGTTTTAAATTATAAAGCTGATGTAGTCTTCAAAATTTTTTCCAACACTAATATTGAATAAGAAATTTTACTAAATTCAGAAATGGTTATAAAAAAATTTGTCAAATTAATGTCAAAATCGACAAAATGCCAAGATAATCGTATTTTATGTACTTATAAAATACGTTGTGATTGACAACGTATTTTATAGAAGAGCGTATATTAACGACAACATAAAAGGTAAGCGTCAATGCACCATAGAAATAGTGCAAAGTGTAAATAGTGTAAGATATTAGTGTTGGAAAAACATAATAAAATACCATGTTCTTTAATGTATAGCTTATAGTTAATTGTCTTCATTTTAAATAAAAACGCCTTAAAGTTGTTACATTTTAAAAAATGTAAAGTGAGTTCGAATTTATGTAAGTTTTTAAAATAGTGGATTAATGAAAGGCAGCATCAGAGCAAAGATCAAAGATATGCAGCGCGCCACTACTACTTATTTATTTTTTGATGGCATAACCCTTGTTCTTTGCCTTTTAAATGCAAAATTTTGCAATTAAAATCACAAAGCATCAATATGCAAATCACTGCTTGCCAACATCCGTAACAACATCTAAGCGAATTGATGAAATCGTTGCTAATAATTAGCAATTCTGCAAAAAGAACTTCCTGACCGCTGTACACTTTCAACTAATGACAGTTAAAACGTTCTAATTGCTAAGAATAAGATACATCTATCTTCACACTGTCTGTGTAATTACGCTTCGTAATTTAATTTTCATCGATCGGAAAAATTTTGAAAAAAAATTGTCCTAGCTTTTAAGTGACGTAACTCATTAATTAATTTACTTCTCCAATTAATTTAATTGCCACAATAATCAATCTCATCAATCAAATAACGTCGTTGTGATCAATAAAAAATTCGAAGGTTGCACCCTCATAATAGATACAGGACAATTAACAGAAACCTAATATAAGAGGTGCGATGCGTCCCTGGACTAGAATTAATGAACACCGACAAACAGATCGCAATGTCCAGCCCATGATTCCAATGAATCCTGATAATATATACAAGAATTAGCATATTGAAGTCACAGAGGCGTAATCAGTGCAAGCAGTCAAGCGAGAGATTGTCTCCCTACAACGACAGCCGCTGGTGCTGCTATTACTACTTGTTTTCTTAAATTTACTGTTGATTGCTTCGTATTCGATTAATTTAATGGAATCTGACGTATTGTTTATTGAAAATCAAACCGAAGGACTCCACATCGGAGCCTGACCTCGCATGCAATTGACCCAAGTACAACAACACCAAATAATTTATTTTTGTAGCAGACATGATGAATATATTGGACGTGTTTTTGTTGCTCGATTGGCTGGTAAAGTTTAATCGATGATATTTTGCTTGGTCACCCCGTAGCATCTCCATCTGTAGATGTAGCTATGCGATTAATGAAATGAAGCATAAAAGGCGTCTGCAATTCTCCGATATGTCAGAATAGTGTGAGTAAATACGGCACGTATCCCTTTAGGGTTATTTATGTGTTGTAATGAAATAGTAGCCCCCGTGCCCTTGTGGTGCAGTTGGTAGCAATTAACACTCGTAGAATAATTTAGTGTTTTTGTGGTCGGTGTAATTACGCCGTAAATAATTTTTGAGTCTTTGATGATCTTAAATGTAAGGTTTGTCGCGTGCAAAGTATGATCACGTCAAACAAATCTTAAAAGCATCGAATGCAGCCGCGTTTTAATCAGTCGATGGTTAATGAATCTGATTTTCGTCGAAAATAAACAAACCTGTGCGAGCGAAAGCGTGTTTTGATGGTGTTTTCGACACTTCCAAGTGAATTTTAATTCGATTAGATTCTCTGTATTAAATTTACATTTTTTGATTAAAGAAAATTAAAATTTGCTAGATCTGTTTGATAGAAGCGACGAGGATAAAAAGTTAAATTTGTTTTTATTAACGTTCTTTATTATCTCTGGTACAGTATTTTAGAAAAGAGGAGATAAATATAAAAGCTTCATCAATTCTCAGTGAATTGTATCAAAACATATTCCGAGCTTGAAGAATAAATCACGAGTAGAATCCATTACGAGCTTGAATTAACGTCATCTTGAAAAGAATTAAACGAATGGAATTAATTATAAGATTGATGGATTTCTCAAATATCTAGCGACCATCCTGCGGTGTTTCCAAGATTCCGACTTAATCACCTCCATTTATTTTAAACTTATTACTTTTTATCATAATATAATCAATAATTTCGCGACGCAAGCCAAGAAAATGCCACCCCCATAGAGGAATTCAAAAATAATAAACATCGCGTTCTTTTAAACTAATTATTTTTTAAAATCCTTCGATGCTTCAGGAAGGATTTATTTGCCGGGTCGGTAACCACAGAATGTCTAAATTTCTGATTGAAATTTAACGAAATGGAATATCAAATAATAACGATGTCCAGTTGAAAATTTTTCCGTAATGGAATTTGCTACTGGAGATTACGAATTCCAGAGGGGTTGTTTTTTAACAAAACGAAATACGGTTTCAAGTGATGATCGACAATATTTCCAACTGGCAAACATTTCCGAACTAAAAGAATGCGATAACATGTTTGCTGAAATTAACTATTGATTTTATTACGGCTCGAACGGTGTTTCAAGATCACGCGGCATTTAGGAGATAGAATTTCCGCATAATGGCGAAGACGGTGTTGGGAAATAATAATTAAAATCCCCAACCTTATTTATTCATTTTGCACATAAACGGTAAGTTTTCAAACGAAAACATAATATCTAAATTTGGTTGATTAACGTCGGCTGGAGCGGACTGATAATGAATGCTAAAAGAAGTATCTATTAAAACTTTGAGTACAATGGAGCCACAAAGGGCCGCTGCTATTGTGAGCATCAATACGAGCGGTACACATCACCTCAATTAAAATGTAATAAGAATCTCCTCTTAGGTATAAAACTCATTAACACTGCGCAAAAAGGGGGCCGATAAATTAAAATTACTTCGAAAAGTTTTTATTTTTACTAACTTTACCGACCCCAGATACACCTTTGTTGCCAGCCTTTACTTTACTTAAACCGATTTCAATGTTCACTTCGTAGCCATTGTCATAAAAACACCCATTACAAAATTCTAATTAATGACACCACCCACCCCCTCTACAATTTTAATCAGCATTCCGCCACCGACGCCCAAAGAAATAACGACACCCCCACCATGCACTCTGCTTCACTGTTTAAAAATTATTTAGCACAAACATAACCACAAACACTCTAAACAGAAGAATTATAAAAATCAACAAAATTATTACAAGAACAAGTTACGATTTTAGTACTTGTTTCGCCAATAAATCTTCTTTTGAATCAATTCTCCCCAAAAAAAAAACGTAAAATTAGAGTTTTTGTACTTTTCTTGCCTAAATCCCTCAACTTGAGTCAGTTGCTGCCTGAAAACGAGATTCTACTGCTTTTTTTCATTTTTACTACATTTAGATAGCCCAAAAAAGAACATCCCTTTATTAGAAACTAATTTATGAGCACTTATGCACTAAATATTTTCGTTGTACATTTAATTTTACACACAAAATACAAATTAAAAAAAACAAAAATTAACTGTTGGAAGCCACTGGAAACGGATCTTTGGCCAATCGCTTTGTCAGATTAATCCTGCTAAATTCCTCAGCAATAGCAGGATGAATGCCAACTGTGTTTCTTAAATTATCCACAGCCAAATTGCATTTGATTGCTGCAGAAAATCCCTGAATAACTTCCCCTGCTTGAGGTCCGATAAAATGCATTCCTAAGACCTTCTGTTGGTTATCCCTTTTTGCTACGACTTTCAAATAACAATGGGCGTTGGTTTTTTGAGGAATAAAAAACTCAGTTGGTTTGTAATAAGCGTGGTAGATTTCTATGTTGTCTTCACCATATCTTTCAATTGCTGTTTCTTCACTAAGACCTACACTACCATATTCTAGAGGAGTGAAAATAGTGGTTGCAATGTTATCATAATCCATTTGTACTGCACTTTTGCCAAATAATCGTCTTGCTAGGAGTTTACCAGCATGAATTGCTACTTGCGTCAAATCGGGTTTTTTGTACAAGACTTCACCAACGGCATAAATGTGTGGAACATTTGTTTGTTCGTTAATTGTCTCAATTTTGTCACCATCATCAACAATATTAACACCAGCTTTATCTAATCTAAGGGCTCTGATACAAGCTTCTCGTCCTATGGCGAAAAGAACAGTCTGAAATTCGTCACTTCCTTCTTCACGAGTTTCGTCAATCCATTTAACTATTAACATCTTTCCAGTACCTCTTTCAATACTTGTTGGTGTGCTTTTATAAAGAAATTTAACTCCTTTTGCCACCATTGATTCAGTCACAAGTTTAGCCATTTGTTGGTCAAAAGCTCGCAAAACAACTGAACGAACCATGACGGTAATATCGTAACCCAAACCCCTCAAAAAACCGGCACATTCAACACCGACGTAACCAGCACCAATAATCAAAGTTTTCCCAGGAGAGTTTTCCAAACTGAAAATATCATCACTAGAGATTCCAAATTCGGCTCCTGGAATGTCCGGATATTTCGGCCGTCCCCCAACCGAAATCAAAAAATATTTAGCCCGAAAAGTCCTCCATTCGTTTTTAATTTTAGCTTCAATTGTGTAAGGGTCGTGAAAAACTCCCATAGAATTGATATACTCCACCCGCTTATCTCTCAGTTCAATTTTTGTCACCCAATTGATACTTTTGATGTGACTTTGAACAGATTCTCGCAAACTCTTCCAGCTGTGTTTAAGACTTTCAGGTTTTGGGAATTGAAAACCGTAACTTCGAGCATCCTGAACAGCTTCGCCTAAGATTGCCACTCGGTGCATTAGTTTCTTTGGAATGCTTTCGATGTTAATACAAGTACCTTCAAGACCCCATTTTATGCCTCGAGCTGATGGAATGATGAAATCAAAAACTGCCACCTTAGCTCCAAGTTCAGCTGCTTCTTTTGCCGCAGCTAGGCCTCCGGAACCGCCACCGAGTACAATTAAGTCGTATTCGGGACGAGCAGAAGCATAAAAACGAAAACTGTGCCGAATGTCTTTGAAAAAATACGTCAGTTGTAGTAGTTTTGTTTTGTAAAAATTTTGAAACAGATCCAACACTTTATTGGACAAAGCCATCACAAAAACAGAAATTTACACACATAACCTCAGAAAAGTGACATTTCTGCTAGAAACTGTCAAGAATTAAGTGGCATTAGAGTGCCTTGAGCCACAGTCTATGGCCACAGTACGTCTTTTTTTCCAACTTTGAGAAAACTCCTAATTCATTATTCTGAGATTTAATATTTATATCGAAGTTTTAAGATAAAACTAAAAATTTCAGATTTTTTATTTATCTTATATTTAGGTACTTAGCTTTAGTATTAATTTTATTTATTTTAATAAACAAAATGCTTTTAGAGTTGTTTTAAGAGGCTAACACAAATCAAAAATTAAATTAAATTTTCTGGTTACCCTAAAAGCTACTATCTTAAAAGTAAAAAAGTAAAAAAAGAGCTGTTTGTTATTCTTTGGAAAAGTTTTCATTAATTAAATATACTGTGAAAAATAGAAAAAACAGGTAAAAAAACAGAAGTAGATACTTACTATCAACAAATTCCAAAATATTCATTTTTGTTTCATGAATATAAAAAACTTATTATTACAAATCCTGAATGTCAAACAATGTAGATCAATAGAAATTAGAGAACCAGAAAAAATATTTTTATACTTCTAACAAAAATGAATTTCTTTTCTGTGCTTTCTGTGCTTTTGTGCCGTTTATACCGTGCGATCAAAAAAAAATAAAGTAGAGTAGGCGACGATTAATATTCCACAGTTGGCAATACAAACTGACGGAAGTGAATTATAGGTTAGGTTAACCTCTTAATCAACTTGACTAGGGAAATTAAGCGGTTTAAGTTGGTGGTGAAGAGAAACACGGTTGGGGAACATATGTAAGTCTTTTTTAAGGATCAATTGACAAATTCCAAAGGATAAATTTGTTTCTTGGGCTAATTTTCGTATGGGTTTTTTGGGGATTGATCCATTCTTTGCTCAACGACTTAAATATTCTCAGATGTTTTTTTGTAGGACGTCCACTATGTTTTTAGCGAAACAGACTACCTGTTTCTTTAAATAAATTCCCTCATTCATGAATTTGATTGAGGAGCTATTGGTAAGTGGCTGAAGAATCTGGGAATTTTTGCTGGAAATTTTCAGAACAAACTGAAAGTAAAAATGACCATTCATCTCTTTCGTCTAGTACAACATTTTTATAATAACTTGTAACAAAAAAAAAATTCTGATTTAAAGTGAACATTATTTCACTCAAAATAAATAAAACGCAAACTTGTCAATGTTTCTGCTAACATTTCGAGTCAAAAATCAAGATTACCATCTGAAGGATCTTAATCACCGCCTACTCTATTTTTTTCGATCGCACGGTATTATTTCCTTTCAAAATTCCATTTTCCAAAAAAACATTATAGTAAATTACAAATTTATGAATGTCATGTACTTTAAAAAACATATCTTTAAATCTATATTTTCTATACCACAAAAACTTTTATGAAAAAAAACAATAATTATTCTTTAAGTCTGTTTCAAAAAAGGTCTTGTTTTTGACGGATTAACTTTTCACCCCTTTAGCTTTAAATTGGGGCATTTTGCCAGAATAATATACAACCTACATTTTAAAAGACAGATGTGTGAAGTTTGAAATTACCTGCGTATTTGTAGGGCTCCCAACCCGTCGAAAGCGCCCCTTTTCCCAGATTATAAATAGAAACAACAAATAACATTGTTTTGATCTCAAAGAGATCGAGTCAGTGAAGCGGCAGACTTTTATAGAAGTTATGAAAAAGCTCATGAAATGCTATTGGATTGGCATTCCGATGGAAGCTCCTTGACTTTCATTTTACTTTAAAATATCGAAGAAACAAATATAGGAAATATCCGCGTCGTTCTCTACGCCCGAAGGCCCAAAGCGCGCATTTTTCGTCCATGAGCGATCCACGAACATAAAAAACCCCAAAAGTCGTGCCAGCGGCTGGGTAATTGTCGGACTCCATCAATACTTGTCACAATCAACCGAAATGAATGATTGTGATCCCGAATGTTTTATAGCAACCTTGTGTGCCAGCCAAGGATTAATCATATGCAAATCCCTTTCGATTTTAGAGATAACACAAAGCTCACTCAATTCGAACATTCGGACCGGCGATAATTAACTTTACCTTTACTATATGCACCCGATACCGAAATCTGGCGTGTGTTTATGAAACCTGTTATGCAATTTAATGGCGGAATTGTAGTAATTTATAGCCGGCTATGCATCAAATCGGTGGATGGTCATTATAGGGTGAAGCCAATGAAAGAATGATTATGCAAGATCGAGGGTAAAATTCGGTGGCCAAAGGCACTATTGCATTCGTATTTATCAGCATGTTAATAAAAAGCGAGAGGGGCCGTCAAAGAATGCGATGCGCCACCAGAGTGTAAGAAATATAAATGAGGATATGAACCGTTTTTGTTGGGGTTAATATTCGTGTTTCCGGTCGGAAAAATCATGAATATGTTTCATTTTTTATTGGCCATTTATATCCAAATTTGTACCACTATAAAATTACAGCGTGGTATATGGAACGATTCAGTGTGGAATAACCGCAACTACATTGAAATATATTCGTGGAGGCCGTACAACTCTCCCCGGTTACAAATATTTGCATTTTAATAGTTTCACTTGGATCTGAAGCTTTGTTTATTTGAAATAGTACTATGTGATTACTTGAGGGCAAGCGGTTTAAAAGGAATTCAAATGGCAAAAATTACAATTCGTACGAGTTATGCAAATACTGATGTAAAAGATAAAAATATCAATTTTGATTTTATCACCGCATATAAACTTGTCCCTGTAGTAATTTTTAATACCCGAATCGGAAAATCGCTGACTTTTAAGTTTTGACCTAAAAATTTGAATTTGCCGATCATTTCGTACCACTTAAATTTAAATAAAACAAACATTTTTCATGTGGAGCAAAGTGTAAGCTCCTGAAATCTTGTTACTTCAACGACATCGGAATAAATCGGTTGCCAATAGCGTCACACATTTGAATAGCAATTTGGCATGGGGGTGAAATTCTAATCAGTTTTTACGACAGCATTTTTATAATAACGTGCTGTCTGTATGCTCTTTCAGTGCCTGCTCCATAACAAAATTGCCTGCAGTCATTTATACAGCAATTTAGATAGCTTTCCGAACGATAATTTACCCCGCAAATGCACCTATAACCGAGAAATTAGAACTCGACATCGAAAGTTGTTTTCTGGGATTTTATTGTTTTATCCCCGTCAATAGCCTTTTCGGTCAATTTCATACCCGGAACATTTTAGGATATTGAAAAATGAAGGCCACTAGGGAACGATACATCGTCGAAAAAGATAGCAAAACAGCGATGGTCAGACGAGGGGTGGGCCTCCTGCTTGAAATATTCCCTTCAAATAGAGATATTAGCAATTATTTATCGATTAGAGAGAAATCCTCCGGCAAATACCAAATTAGTTTTGTTTAGATGAAGGAGCGATTTGATCCAGACTTTACACGTAATCCTCCTCCTGCTAAACATCTTTAGCCTGACCGCAAGTTCAGCATCTTACGAGCTTAAGATCCAGTTTACACTTTAATTTCTTATTGAATAATTTCGTCAAAAAATACATCAAATTGAGTTTAATTTGGATCTGCGATTGTGTTAAGATATCCATAAACGTGTCGGTAAGTCTGGAGGAGAGACATCAAAGCGACATCAGCTTGCGCTAGATTGCTCTCAATAATTACTATGCAAAATTATTAGCATATTAATTAAAGAAAATGTAATTAAAATTGAGTTGTGTCGAATAGGAACGCGATTATCATAACTGAGTTGGGAGCGAGTTCAAAATATGTCCACCATTGGAAAAGTGATCAAAAGTGAGACGTAAATTGCTACTGGAACATCTTTTGACGCCTTCATTTAAATACACCAAATTTAGATTCTGGTTTTTATCACTTTTGCATTCGTTTGCATACTAATGAGGGGCACACGTGCTTATTACCAATAAATTACTTACACATAATTCCCCCAAACACAGGTGACATTGTTATAAAAATAAAAATTTAGAAAAATAAATACAAAAACAATTTTTTGTCTCTCTCCATGTTTAGAATCAAGTTACTTCTCTTGATAAAGTTTGAATTTCTCTGGTTTACACCTGGTGTTACTAATGAAACACTGTTTTTGCCAATTTTTGGATTTATCAATAAATCTTCCTCAAAAGTTTTTCCTTCGTTTTTTATTATTTGGTATTTTTTTTAAACAAATCAAAGAAAAGTAGTGACAACATTTTCATTGTCATTTACGACAAACAATCATAAGAAGAGAATGGTAGCCCTTGAGAATATTGTTAATAAAACGAAAAGTTCACACCAGGTGTGAACACGAGAAATTTTAATTTCACTAAAAAAAACTCTGTTACATTTGTTATCGTAGCTGAATCACTTTGTAATTTTAATTTATAAACGCTCCATAAACGCCTAATATAATAAATAAATTAGTAAATCAAAAAATTAAGGAATAAAATCTGCCAACCATCGAGCAGAAAACAAGTGCTCGAAGTAGGAAATTGAATAAAGCTATAAAATTAAGCATCCATAGATTAGCACTATATTATAAGTATAATCGCTGTAGTTTGGTTGAAAATTGGTTTATTAAGTGTTACAACATTTTTGAAATTCGCGGTAACGAGTAAATTTAGGGAAAGTTTAAATTAGCTCAATTAAGTTGGTTAAAAAAAGCATCAGTATCGAAATCACGTCCACACTTAGTAATTCAAATTAGCATCGTAATTATTACAATGATTTCATCGTTCCCAACGGAAAATGTAATTGTAGTGGGTAAGTATTCTTGTTAGGTTTATGCTAAAAGCAACAATTACCCCCGAAATTGCAGTCTTTAATTATAATCGTTATTGAAACGGATGCTCCATATCGGCTCAAGCAAATTTTTATCTAAGATAATCAGCAATTTTCTGGTTACAATGTAAATTCATGATTGATAAATAAAGTGCGTTGACATAAATAATAATTGGTAGGTAATTTACGTAAAATCAACGAAAATTTGCCTGCAAGCTGAAAGCACTGAACAACACAAC